TCGTACTAGGTCGTTACGTTAACTAAACTTAAATTTAACTTAAACTTTAAGTTTAGTTCGTTTCCGTTACCGGTACGTACTACGACACTACGACGTACGTACGTCTCTCTCTCTCTCTCTCTCTCTCTCTCTCTCTCTCTCTCTCTGTGACAACACTGTTTTGAAGTTTCCAATAAAAATTTCATGTCTCACTAGGACACAAAATGGTCTGACTGCAGCTGTACCGTCTTAGCAGATCTTCACAAGTTTTGACAAAATCTTATGGGATTGTATACAATTGAGACCATTTACCTTTGATACAAGGTGGTCACAATTACTTACAATGATCCGATGTGAAATTTGAGAGCTTCGATATGTCACAAAGTTCAAGAAAATTTCTTTTGAAGTTTGAGCTTGATCAATGATTAATTACATACACTCAATTTCACATCCAATGGTCAAGATTAATGTGACCACCTTGTACCAAAGATAAATGGTCTCATTCTATACTTTCTCAATTCTTATTTATATTGATTCTGGTAACATCAGAGGCCAATATCCGTTGAACAATTGTTTCATGAGGGCTGGACTACATTTGTACAATATGCGGTCCAAAGGTATAAAGCATCAATCTTAAAGATGGATGCAAATAGGTGGCCCATATAAAAACAATTGCAACTAGCGGTCCAATTGCTTTCTTAATATAATTATTATTTTTAGTTTTCAAAATTTATTTATTTTTCCATATTCGTGAACTCCATGTTAAAGACTATATATTCTCTAAAAATTATGATCAAATTATATTTAAAATATATATTTATTGCCAAGCCGACATTTGTACATATGTGGGCTTGGCCGCAAACTAAACGCATTCATATCTGTTTAGGCCAGATATACTTTTAGGGACATAATGTAACTAAGGCCTGGCTCATCAATATAAGGAATGAACACATCCAAGCTTCACCATGGATAAATATCCAGAGAATAGGCTACCGAAAATCAGGGTCATCAATGTCCAATCAAACGGTTGGACTAAGATGGCAATGGCCAGAGTAGGACTTGATGGAGTCATGTCATACTCTGGTGGTTCCCACAGCCTCTCAATTACCTCCCAATATTGGACATTAATGCCCCAATGACTACAAATTACAGCAACTGTAAAATCAGAAGACCATCGCGATTAATAACCACCAACAACATATTCCAAGAATGAATGGATACGCATAACAGTCCCAAATAAGGATTAGTAGGGTAGTTTCTGCAGTGAACTTACAGCATGTTGTGCAAGAACTCTCCTTTAGGGAGCTTGAATTTCTTTATGTTGTCAGCTGATGCTGATGCAAAGCTATGCCTACAATAAAATAGAAAGGCAGCCTTTCAGTAGGTATCTCAAAACAACAACAACAACAACAACAATAATAATAATAAACACAACACATGAATAATCTAACAAGAAGATATGTATGTGTATGTGTGCGCGTGCGTACGTAACAGAGAGAGTGAGAGAGAGAGAGAGAGAGAGAGAGGAGGAGAGAGAGAGAGGAGGAGGAGGAGAGAGAGAGTAGAG